ATATATTTACGAATCACACAAAGTGAGCAAAACCATATAAAAAAGTACTTTTATCATCTTTTCTCACACTCATCAACCTCTTCGCGTGGCCTTGCGCGGCCAAAATAATAATGTTGTTTTGTATTCCGTAGAAAGTCCGAGTAAACTAATAACTGGATAACCACGAAGCTGAGCTTTTGAACAGGTACTCTTCATTTTCGTTCCTAGATTGCATTATTTTTCAATTTTTTTTTTTTTAATTAGATCTCTGATGGGGAAAAAAACAAACTGAGCGACATAACTGTTGATTTTTAGTGTTCCATTTTTCGCTTATCGTGTGTGGTTTGTTTTCTTTAAGTATTAATTTGCTGTATGAAGTTGGGCTTTTCAGTTCACGGTGAGCTTCAATCTCTTAATTGAGCTGAAATCCCTTGAATTTGGTTGAAAAATGATCTGCTGATGATAACGTCTTGTGTAGATTGATGTTTTTCATTCTTTCTTTCTGCTTTTCTTAGGAACACTCGAGATAAGTTCAATGAAAATCAACAAATTTGCCATTTTTAATTTGCTCCTCCTCTAAAATTTGTTTGGTTGTGGTTGTTGACACCCAACAAGATCCATCATGTCTCAACAAGTTCGGCACTCAATCAACAATAGCACCCGAAGAAGCCCGCAATCTCACCACGACCCTTGGATAGCTCATTGGATGCCCACTGCTAATAACACGACATCAGCTGAGAGGCATTATCACACTCCTCGTCCAATACAAGCCATTTGTGGGGACATCAAACCTCTTGATTTCGCCTTTGAGGACGTTGGAACGAGTTCAAAAAGCTCAGCAAGTGCGAAAATGGAGCCTGGTAAACATGCTGGTGTTCCGTTTCTTTCTAATGTTAATTCTACTGGAGAAGCTACTTCGAATAATCCTCTGGGCTCGATGAATACACGTGATGTGCCGTATTATGACTACCTCGAGAAAAAGGGAGGAAAATCTGTTGTGGTTTCAAACAGCATGAGCCTAGCAAATGAAACCTCGATTAGTGCATGCCGTGGGGATTTTAGTTCATCTCTATTGTGCAGCCGTGATTGGTTCAAGAAGATGCAACAGTCTCCGAGAGGTGGATCGTCGTTTGATTTCCACTCTCTAGAGAAGTTCCCCGATGATCGTGATTTGGAGGCGATAAGACTACGCACGCCTGTGGATTCTGTTGAGGTCACGTCCGGTGGCTGTCCTAGGTTTTCAAAGGCGTCTCGCAGCATGCTAATGAAGAAAAATAGCATGCCTGGGCATTTCAACCTTTCGCTCTTTTTCTGTCAAGGTAAAGGAGGCATAAAGCTTAGCCCTCTGAGTAGTTCATCTGGTAGTGAAGGGGGAAATAATGCTGAGAGTGAAGACTGTAAAGTTACTGTAAGGACTGAAGCATCGGCTGAGACAGAGACCATGGAGGTGGATTTTCTGAAGGATGAAAAAGTAAATCCCGGTATGTGCCAACATGTGCATCATTGTAGTATTTTTCAATGTGTGGTGAGCAAATGTCTACATTTGCACTTTCAGTAAGCTAGTATATTTGCCTTTCAACTTGGCTGTGTTGTTAGAAAGGGGAATAATTGGTGTATTGTTATTTATATGGCTCATGAGTCATGAGTAATTGCATTTAGTTTATTTATGTTTTAGTATTATTAACAATTTGCTCTTTCCATTCCTGTAGGCACAACTTCCACCCCCTCAATTAAGGTATGCCTAAACTTGTCTTTCTAATTCAAGTATTTTATTCATCTGTTTTTCTCGTGTAGTTGTGTGTAGCCATTTTCTCCATCTACATATTTGTCCAATGTAAAGTTAGAACCATGTGTCGTTTGAATTGTGTGTGTGGTATTTTTCCAATATTTGCATGAAACTAATCTTAGTCAGAGGCCAGTAAGTCCTCATCATTCAGAGTCATGTTAATGTAGAACACATTTACTGCTGCGTCACAAGATTATTTGCCGTTTGGTCCCAAAGCATCTCGGGTTTTTGTACAACATTACATCATTGAAGTGCACACATCAACCTGAAAGAGAACTTCCATTTAGGGGAAAGTTGCGTAGTGAGAGCTGTGGCTTTAGCTTATTACAAGAAAACCACATGCTTCTGGGTGAAAGTCCTTTTGAGATTTGATTTTGTATCATAGGTTCTCACTTGGCCTCTGCATAACCAAAAACATCTCACCATTTCTGAACATTATCACTTGCCACTTTAACATGTAACAAATTAGACATCAATTGGTTTTTTTCCCCGGTTATATTTTAGAAATCCACGAGTTATTTTCATAATTAGCCACCCTTGCATTTTTTATATCTATACCACCCCCCACAAATTTATTTTTTTTAATGCTTTTGGGGTTTGTGAAAAAATTGGAATCTGATAAAATGCACTTGCTCTTTCTGTTAATTGGTTATGTAACACGTCAATAATTCCTAGGTAGTGGAAGCCCATATACTGCTGCTAATTACGGAGTAACTTTCTGATTCTTGAAACCACTCACTGTGTTTCATAGATTGACATTTGTTAACTACCGAGTCATAGCAGAAGAATAAAATGTTGCGTGGCTGAGTACATGAATTGCCTGGTTTCTTCATCCAAATCCATCTGTGTATAAAAATTGTATACTGTACAGCAGTGTAATGATCATTGGTATATTTCACAGGCTTTCAACATCGAGTTGAATTCCCCACCCCAAAAGGCCACTGTCCCCTCAAGAGAAACCGAACATCAGTGGACCAAAACCGGACTGCTCGAGGTTCCCCTTGAAAATGTGTGTCCGTGCTCCTCAAAAACTCAGAGCGTGGAAATGGACATGCTCCTATCCAATGCTGAGCACATAATATCAAAGCCCAGTACTATCAACCCTGACATTTTGGACCCGTCTAATAGATGGGTCAAACGTCTAAAGATCAGCTCCCCGAAGTTAAACCCCTCCTCCCGGGGCACAAAGATATCGAGGCCAGATGAAAATTTGTTTGATGACAACAAAATGAGAAGCCACCTTAGAAATATTCTTGATAGCGGCATTATTAGCTCGGGACCAGATAACAGGCATGACGGTAAGAACAAAATTTCGTCTGATAAAAATGAAGATGAGTTTAATATGGTGTGTGCTGGGAAAGAGACTAAGGAGTTGTTGCTTTCGAATGCTTGGATTAAAAGGTGGCTGGCAAAGGGAGTCCCAGATGAGAAAACTGATGCGTCTGGAGACTCGAATGGTGATAAGCTTGAACATAAGCGGTTCCCAAGCGTTGGTGCTATGGCTCTAATGGCAAAGGCTATGCATGGCTTACCACCATGTGAGATTCAAAAGAGAGGCCCTATCACTGTTTGGAACGCCAGGACTTTTTGATAAGGCGAAAAAATTGTTTGTGAGTGAGTTTTATGCTTTTCCTTTGTTTTGTTTGTTGTTTGCTTTGGTTCGTTTTGTTGAACATGCCATTGCGACTAATGCCGGTGGAATTATGTCTAGTATTGGTCGGTGTGTGGCGTAGATTTTTATGATCAGTAATAAAGTCGTAGAGATAGATGCCAAAGGAGAGAGTCGTCAACTCATGTGCCTACATGAGCAAAAGCTTCTAACATTAGAATCTCATGGTCCAATGATGTGTCCAAATTCACGAAAGTAAGACAAGTTGGTTTCATTATGATTTTGGTCCAATGTTTTAGAAGTTTGGTGGTCAATCAGCAAGCAGCCTCTTAATTAGAAACCACATGGGCACTTCCATTTACTAGAAATTTTGAAGCAGCTCTTAATTAGAAACCACATGGGCACTTCCATTTACTAGAAATTTTGAAGCAGCTATTTAATATATATCTGCACTAAAGAGCTTAACTTAACAATCCATGTGAAATTGCAATTCCAAACAACAATAACACTTATAAAGAGTAATCTTACCCTATCCACGTGGACACATTTTTATATGCCCACCGTTTATGTGGCATTCACATTAGTGATATATTTTTTTTGAACATATTAACATCACTAATATGTGCATGTCACATAAACTGTGAGCATATTAACATGTACCCACCGTGAATTGGTGAGCATTATTGCACTTGTAAAATAAACAAATTAACATTCAGAACAATTCATTTACAAGTAACTTAAAAGGATATGATATAGTAGTGGGCTCAAAGAGTTGACAAAAACAATTCTAACACAGAAAATACTAGGATACATTAGCTCAAATGATCTCAATAAAGATGATTTGCTCTAAACAAAAAACAAATTCCACCAAACATAGATAATCTCAAACCCAACACATTCAAGAACAATGTCAAAACTAAGGACAAAACCCATTGAAATTAGGACCTAAGTGTTGGTGGCCCTGGTGTATATCTGCTGGCTTGAATGAGCAGACACCATTCTGATCAAGCCTCTAGCCATCAACTCCCTAATAGCCTTCCTCGCCAGTGATCCACTTATCTGTTAAACAAAACAATACAGAATTAACAGTAAGCACAAAAATTTAATCATTGGACAGAACAAACTCAGAACAAACTCAGTACAAAAAGTTACATACAAAATACACTTGCAAAACCCATTCTATTAAAAATAGTCACAACTGCTAATGAAAGTACAAAAAGTCAAGATTAATCGTAGAGCGTCTTAAATTAAAACTAAGGAAAAATTCGGGTAGCATAGCGTGTTGTTAGCTAGATCTAGTAATTCCATAAGATAACACATTTGATACTAGAATTGATTAGACGAACCGTGGACTGGATGCTCTCTCTTAATTTATTTTATTTTATTTGTTTAGATTTTATTTATTTTGGTTAGTTTAGCTATTAAATCACAATCTCAATTTTATTGCTTTTATAATAATTACAATTAATACAAGAATATCACAATTTGGTTAACACTCCTCGAATCGAATCTTACTTAGTAAACTTAGTAAGGTTAGTCGAGGAAAAATAAAAATTTTACTGATAATATCATTAACACCATCTATGGAATGCTCGCATTAATGACAACTAAAATTTTATATTTAATGAGAAGAAAAAAAGAAAAGAAACAGTACCCTGAGACGATCCGAGAGAACAGACGGGGTGATGAGCTTGTACTTGGGCGCCTCAGAAAGCAACTTGTCGTAGGTAGCCTTATCGAACAGAACCATGTTGTTCACCTTCTCTTTTTGCTTTCCCTTGCTCCACTTCTACATAACATTTTCACACTAAATCAAATCTCGTTCAACAAAACTGAAAAAAAAAAAAAAGAGAGAAGAGCTGCATTCAAGAAAATGACCTTCTTCTTCTGCTTGCCACCACCTGATTTCGCCGGCTTCGATGACGGCGGAGGAGCCTTATCCTTCTTTGGTGCCTGCAAACACATATAGACAAAGTCAAAGGAAATTGAATAAGAAAAAGAAACGGCAGAAGAAAATCACATCAATGGAGAAGAAGGAAAAATTCTGAGCTTCATCCCACCATCTTGAGTGAGTGGCGATGCGAGTCGGGAAAGAAGAGGCGTTGTGACCTGGGGTGTTTAGGCTAGCAGATTTAGGGTTTTTATTTGGTTTTGAAAATGGATTAGGGTTTTAAATGGGCCAAACACAAACGATACTCGCTGCTTAATGGGTCTGTTTTGTGGCAGGCCCATCCAATGACAACCTGGTATATATCCACAAGGAACAAAAAAGAGGAATTTGCATCTATACAATTAGAGAATTGCTCTCCTACCCACGGTGGGCACATGTTAATATGCCCACCGCATAGGTGGCATCCACTCATTGGTGATGTTAATATGTTTAAAAAAATACATCACCAATGAGTGCATGCCACCTATGCGGTGGACATATTAACATGTGTCCACCGTGGGTAGGTGAGCATTTCTATATACAATCATATTCAATTTAGAGTAATGCTACAAGTACATAATATTGTACATAAGGGTGTACATTATACTCACATTAAGTGGGACCCACCAAACATAAAAAATCAAGTGGATCCCACACCATGTGAGAGTTATGTACACCTCTATGTACATTTATTATGTACATGTAGCATTTTCCTTCAATTTATATAACACTTATACATTTATTTTATTTTTATTTATAAAATAGTCAAACCAACTACAAATTATTGCAAATATACCTAATAAGGTGCAAAGTCCTTTTTAACCATTACTAAGTAATTTTCGGGAAATTAAATACATTTGAGATCAATAATTGAGATATACTTACCAAATAAATATGAGGAACTCTCTCTCTCTCTCTCTCTCTCTCTCTCTCTCTCTCTAAATCGGAATAATTAATTGTATTTTTCCGTGAAAACCTCCGCCAACGTTCACCATCTCTCTCAGTTTCGGATCGCAATTTTTTTTCTGTGAAATCTGATAGCCTTCGGTTCATCTTAGATATTTTATCTGGTTGTGTTCATCTCAGCTATTCTAGAATCAACGGTTAGAGACAAAGGAATCGCAAATATCCGAGTTGAAAGAGAAGATCCATGACCAAACTGAGATTGAAAGGAAACCGGCGCCCAAGGATGAAGAAGACGACGATGACGAGTTGGTCAGCAAACAAATGGTGAAGATCGATCAGTCAACTTTTTTTTGTGGTATATTTGCGTAACTTTTCTTAAGAAAAAGATCGATCGCGCCTCTATCGTTTGTGCTGCAATGTGGTATATGTACAGTATATGATCACTATATGTACAATATATGTTAAATTTATACTTTTTTACCTGGCAGGAGGAAAAAATATACATTAATTTTAATCGATCTGTCAACTTTTTTATTTTTTTGTGGTATATTTGCGTAATTTTCTTAAGAAAAAAATCGCAGATCGACCGCGCCTCTATCGTTTGTGTTGTGTTGTGGTATATGTACAGTATATGTCCAGTATATCGACGCCCCCTCTGTGTTCTTCTTTTTTCTTTGTTGTGTGTATAACGATGAAAACAGAAAAAATGATCGACGTACTGAAATATACTCCAAAAATATTGTGATGTGAAATATACTCCAAAATCGTGAGTGATTCGTGAAATATACATACTGAACATAAACCGAACAATATATTGTTGAACATAAACCCAAAATAAACTGAATATAAAGATAAAATATACTGAACATAAACCAAAAATATACTTTACTACACATATAAACTAAACCGCTGAACATAAATTAAAAATATTAAAACTACGCAATTTACCATAATCAAAAAAAGATTTTTTTTTATACTAACATGCCAGAATTCACGGGGAGAGAGAGAGAGAGAAGATGCTTTGGCCTGATAAGGTAACAGAAAGCAGGCATTATTGTAGGTAATGTTGATGGTTTAGGTAAAGATATAAATATTTTATTTGGAGTTGTATTTTTACAATTAATTCTAAATCTTGTAGCAGACATAAAAATTTCCCAAGAAAAAATTATGACTAATAATGTATATACATAGACATGAATTAAAATTTATTATCTTCTTTATGCCAATTTAAAAAAATTATGAATAATAACGTACATACATATACATGAATTAAAATTTATTCTCTTCTTTATGACCAACTAGTACAGTCATGCACGCGCTTTATTATTTCTATCTTTTTTTAAAAGGCAATTTTGTTTTTAAATTAAAATTATATAATAAGGGAACGATCATGACATCAGTTAATTGCATGCTTAAATTAATTATTTTTTATATATCTAGTAATTTTGCAATTAATGTTTTACATGTGGTAATTTTGCAATAAAAAGTGATATATGTTGTAAATGGTGTAATTTCTTTCTTTCTTTTTTTCTTTTTATATTACAAACGGCCAACAAAACAGAGAGCCCAAATATAATTCAGTTAAAAAAAATGATCGAACGGTTGACAATAATCAACCGAAATGTACGTGTGAGATCGACCCTATAATTGCATTTGGTTGGCATTAGGTTTAGGCTTGCCATTTGCGCCGCTTCACTCTTTCCTGTTGGATTTTCGATTCTTGTTGAATTTAAGACATGAAATTCGATTGTCTTACTTACTTATGCTTTCTAGCTCAAGTATCATTTCCAATTTTGAATTAGCACACTGAAATTCTGTAATTAGTTAATATGTTTATAGTTTTTATGCAGTATTATGTATTCCTATTTTTTTACGAATTATAATTATTTAGATTTCATATTATTGTACGATTTTGTTTATATCGTTTTCAGTTTTCAACAAAATGCAAGTTTCATGTGCGGTCTTTACTTTTCAGACATAAAATGATTTAATAAAAAAAAAACAGAAACTTCTCATTTTAACTCGACTCTGATACCTAGATTGATTTTTTTGTGCTCGATCTGCAATTTTGATAACGAAAAGTAGATTTTTGTAAAAACAAAAACGTATTAGATTATATATTATATAAAAATTCAACTCTTTGTATTCGATTTGAAATTTTCACACAGAAATTTGGAACTCGTATGCGATTTTATTGTAATTGTTCTACAATTTTTATTATTAGTATTATTATTTTTTTGCATGAGATTGACAGAGTGATGTGGGTGCATTAGAAATACGATGAATGCATTAGAAATATATGATATTTATAGGGATATGATTAATATCCCATCGGATTCAACATCTATCTGACATTTTTTATTCTAATATGATTAATATCCCGTCGGATCTTATTCGATTTACTTGATTATGCTTATGATGAGTTGGCAAAAATATGTGGACAATTTCGATGCAATATGTAGTAATTAATAAATTTGTGAAGAAATAAAATCCTACAAAATCAGATCATATATCTGTTGGTTAAAAAAAAAGAATAATTGCCAAACAAATGTGAAAACTGAAAAGCCATCAAATCATCAATTTTGCAGCTGTCCAAAAAATCTGTAGTTATTGTGGAAAATTGGTAACAACAATTCATATATAAAATCAATCAAAATCTTAGAAATATAATTAACAAACTAGTGCAGAGCCCGTACGATGCACGGAGTACACAATTTTAAGGCTATTTGGCGAGGATTATTATTATATACATGAATAAAAAAATATACGGAATATATATAGTACGTGCCCGTGCGATGCACAAAATATATTTATTTGGAGAATATTATATTATTAGATGCAATATTAAATAAAGAGATTTATAATACGTAGGAAAATTGTACAATAAGATAGTATTCGACATAAATACAATCATTATTATTAAAGACCTCCTTTTATACAACATTATGAGTTTGATTATTACTCAAGTCGTTATTCTCACAAACTAATATCTTCAACCCCCTTCTATTAGTTACACGCGAAACAACAACATATAATAAAGACATTTAATGAAGTGGTAACATGTACCTTTTCTACAAACATATTAAACATTTTCATGTTAAGAATAAATAATTGGTTAGGAAAGAGTGTAGAAATTATTAGAAAAACAAAACAACATGGTTAGAATAAGATTAGTAAAAATACTTCATGGGTTGAACATTAAAATTAAATAATTGAAATAATTGGAAAGTAATATTAAATGATAGGTATTCTATAGCACGTACAAGTTGCTTGATTAGTATCCATGGTTGACCAGTTTCTTCATAGTGGCTTTTGAAAGCCAAAAGTTTGTCTATACATATTCACCACAAACCGTGCAATTTACGAAATTTTCACCGCATTAAATTTCAAAATTATTAGATATGTAATGCATATAATAAAATTACATGATTATAATTTATTATATTGCAGAAAAAACTGCAGTAAAAAAAATAATAATTATTTTAGATCCATAAGAATGAATGCAACCATTTGGGTATCGTCATTTTTTATTTGTTTCTCTTGCACACTTTGAATGTCAACAACCAATCATATAACATCTACAATAAAAAAACCAATATGTTATAGTTTAATTACATTGAAATAAACAAACAAAATTAGAAACAAAATGAAATAATCTTAGCGAATAACATTATCGATTTTGTTGACATACAGTAGAGTTGCAAAGTCTTTGAATTGAAATCGAAATACAGGAAATTCTTCCTTGCACTTTGTAAACATAGTGCTCCCGTGCTGCATGATCTTAAAATCACCCGATATCGATGATACTTCCCTATATTGTTGTCCACTTGATAACTTTTTATACAAATGACTATGCCCTCCTCGAAATTTCTCTCTCTAAATGCAGCCAAGTTGATTGCCCGTAGCCATGCCGTAATGCGATTACCCTAAACATATAAAGCAATCAATGAAAAAATAATTTGTTTTAAAAACATAAAAATGTACATTATATATACATGAAAATATATGTTTGATATTTCAGAAAAAAAAACTAAAAATAATTTGGCTTACAGTTTTATCATGTAGAGCCAACTCAAGATAGGATTTATATGTGCTGCCGAGTCTTGGAATAACATTCTTACAATTCGAACTTTAAACATAGGTCTACTAAACCTATTAACTTGTTTGATTAAGCCAAATTCTTGATTCATTGTTATGAATGACACACTAATTGAGATTTTTTTTTTC